AAAAGGCACCGGAGTTCTTATCCACTGAAACAACAACAAAAAATTTTTTTAAGTAACTGAATTTCTCAGACAAAATTTGAATATTTATTTTTAATGGACACCATATGCTCCCTCTGATTTTTTTATTTAATTACATCATGGCAGATGGCTGGGTGTTAAAGGCCATTAAGCTAATGGCACTTTGCCTTCTCATTTATTTTCTCGAGTTTTGGGGAAGATAAATGGGAATGGATGTGGATGTCGAGCTGTGAGCAGGGGGCGGTGGCGCAAGAGTCCCCATCCCGGGGACGGAGTGAGGTGTGGGGGCTCTGGGGGTTCTTCCTGGGGAGGTGTGCGGGAGGCAGCATATGCCGCGGTCAGGGACATGGAACAGGTTTCCCCGGTGTGTGCATGCACACAAATGTGCAGAGTATTTGGCGTAGCAATCCCACTCTTTTTTGACCAGGTCTGCATGCTCATCATGGGATCATTAAACTATCCATGAGCAAAAGAGTGTCCAGAGGGGATCCACCCACTCACTATCTGGAGTGCAAAAGCTTTCCTCAGGGTTGGCTGGGATAATAAAATTCTAGATTTCTAAAGAGCGAATGGCCGTGAGTGAAAGCCACGAGATTGGCATTTTACAAGTGCATTTCTGCTTAGACTGTTTCATTACATCGTTCACTTGCCAAATGGCTGGTCTAGGAGCAAGAAGGATGAGAAGAAACTCTTTCTCCATCTACCTGGAGAAGAGTTTGAGGCATGGTATTGCATGTCTCCAAGCTCAGGAAGGATGCCTCTATCAAGGCTGGGATTGCACTGAGAGACTGGTGGCCCAGAGAGGGGAGAGCTGTCCTGCTGGTATACTTTGTGTCCCCGTTGCATCATGCCATCAAGACTCCAGACAGTTTTGCACTCAAATTCACTTTCCACTTCTTCCCAGCTGTGTGTCTGGGCAAGCTATGAACCTTAATTTCCACATCTATAAAATGGGTATATTCATGCCTATGCCTCGTTTTGTTGTTGTTGTTGTTGTTGAAAGGTGCTACATTGCCTTCCAGGATTACATACATCGTATACATGTATCGGGGCAGAGGCATGAGGCAGCAGCTGGTGAGGAAAACCCATTCTACCCGAGCCACACAGGCAGAGAATTCATGGGAGAGAAGCTCCATGAATGCAAATGGGGTCCCTATACCACAATGACAGGGGCTCCAGGCAGGCAAAATCACATGTACTCTCTATCAATTATTATAAGACGGGACACTTGCACATTATATATGTGTTAATATACTATTATACACCTGCATATATTAACTCATTTAGTTCTCACACCAACCCTGAGATAAACACTATTACATCCCCATTCTATGGGTGGGGAAACTGAGGTGCAGAGAGGTTAATGACCAGGTCAAAGGATGATAGTGAGGATTACAGGGCACAATGGGGATAAGGTGCCTAACACAGTGCCTGGCACATAGTAAGTGCTCAACAAACAGCAGTGATTCCAAGTATTTTTATTATTAAGTCAAGACTAAAATGTTGCCTGGCCTGGGTTTCCCAGTTTCTTGGAGACTTCCCAAAAGGATCTCCCACCCCCAGATCTTCACAAACCCTGTTTCTCTGCAGCTATTTCTCAGCCAAGCTCGGGTAGTTAGAGGGTCAGCTGGTCCCTGGGCCTGCTCAGTCCCACAATCTGCCTCTGTCCCCAAAGTCAGGTTCTGGGTCTGTGATGGGCTTTGGTCCTTCCCTCCTCGGCCTAGCTGAACCTGGAAGGGGGAGGACCCAGGGCAGTCTGTGCCTCTTGTTTTCCTTCCCCCTGCAGGGCAGTTCTACCCCACCCACCTTTTAGCTGGCAGCTCAACACCAGAGGTTCATTCTGTCGCTAAAAATAGACTGCGTTTAGACACTTTGAGGCTCCCGCTGGAAACACGAACTGCCGTCACCAAAGGCTGACACTTCTGCGGAAGGGACCTCTCAGTCTCACCCCTGTGGAAACTTAACGCTAGCCCCGGGAGGGAGGCAGGGTTGGGGTTATCCACCACATTCAACACATGGGGAAACTGAGGCTCGGAGGGGTCTCGTGTAAAATGAAGAGGGATGAAGCCACAATAGCCAGATCTTGGCGAGTGTCAACTCAGAGAGGTGAAGGCACCTGCCTGGGTGTCGCACCTGTCGAGGACAGGAGAAGCGATCGGTAGTGTTGTGATTCCGCACGAGTTCTGAGCGGGTGGAGACAGAGGTGAAGGGGGTTGCTGTAGGCGATCCTGGGCTGTAGAAACACTATCCGTGGAACAGAAAGAAGCAAGGTTGCCGGGAGGGAGGAGCATGCAAGAATGTGTTTATAAAATCTTCAAACACGGTATCCGGCATGAAGTAGGCGCTCAACCGATGGCAGTTAGCTTCACTTCCCCATGGCTTTGGGGGCAGAATGTCTGTCCGGAGAGAGAGCAGAAAGAGGGACAATGAGAGGTAGAGAGACAGAGGCAGAGACGGGGAGAGAGAATGGCAGACAGACGTGGGAGGCAGAGGAGTCTTTGGGGCTCCTTTGAGGACATGGGACTATGGCACAGCAGGGGTACCTGAACCCCAGACCCGCCCAGCGCTGAGTGGCACCAGATGCAGCCTCCGCAGAGCCCGAAGTCACAGTTCTTCGAGGCTGTGCCCTGAGTGGTTTGTAGGTTTAAGCCGTGTGGGGAGCCAGTCCCCTTACTCCTCTTATTCAGTTCCTCCACCGGTGCTTCTTGGGGGTCTACTGCACACCAGCTGCTGGATAAAGCGCTGATAGCACGGCCCCGCCCCCTCCTCGGGGCTCAGACCCCAGGGCCCCTTTCTCCAGGTGAGCCCCCACCCCCTCCGCTCCTAGCCCTGTGGCACGGTGTGCATGGCTCAAGCGTCACCTCCCCTCCCCGGAGGACAAGGAGCTCTGCGAGCGGTAGGTGGGCACAGCCCCTCCGCACAGCCCCTCCCCTCCCACCCCACCGATGCCCAGGCCTCCTCTATTCCCCGCCAGCTGCTAATGAGCTCATTATCCTCTTAAAGCCCATTTGGCACCCACTTAGAGCAAAGATGTGTTGAAATATAAAAGGACGAGGAGGGAACAACAGAAAAGAACTAGACCCAGAAATATCCTCAGCAAGGCAAAAAGCCGCGGGGAACACCACGACTGAAATCTTCTGTCTCCACGGCAGCCGGAGTGCTGATGTGACACGTGGCTCTACAATCTGCCCGCATGTGCCTCCTGTGGGGGTGGGGCGGGGCGGCGGGACCTCCCGTGAGCATCTCTTACGTGTCAGATCTTTAATTCAGCCCTCCCAGCAATATAGTTTGTTGGGGGAAGTCAAGATGCCTGGGGCCACTTTACAGTTGAGGAGCCAGAGTCTTGGTGAGAAGAGGTGTCCTGCCCCAGTCACTTGCTGGTGGGTGGAAGAGGCAGGATTTGAACCCAGGTCAGGTTGCCCCCAGAGCCCTGTTCTTGCCTGAATGCCTCCAGAAGGGCTGGTGTCTGCCTGCCCATCCCTTAAGGACGGCTGGCTTTTTCTCATGCTAGCCCAGCTGCAGATACATCTGGCACACGTGTGAGCTACATGGAATACTCCAGGGGCACTGCCCACCGCCCGGGGCTTTTCAAGCTGCCCAGAGACTGGTCTCTGTAAGGTGTTGGCACATGAATTTTCAGTGGGTCCCCACGACCACCATTAGAACACAGCCTGGACTCCTAAGCTCGGTGGGCTTTTCCTCCTCCCGGTGCTGTCCTTCTGTCGTTCCTTTACCCAGAGAGCTTTGACACCTCTGGTAAGACCTCTGACTACTCCTGCATGACCTGCCAGCTGGAAGATTTCTCGCTGGGGGACCCCCTCTGTGATCCTCACAGGCAGTGGCAGACCCTCACTTCCTTGGGTTCCCACCTTCTAGATCGTTCCACCCCAGGGTCCTCAGCCCCCTTGACATTTTGAACCAAAGTTTGGGAGCTTATATGCAAAGGCTCTTATCTGGGCATATGCCTGTAGTTGTCATCAGATCATCAAAGAAATACAAGACCAGAATAGATGCATGGTTAGGAATGCAGGCTTTGAAGTCAAGTGGTCCTGAGTTCACAACCCAGCTGCCACTTCCCAGCTGTGTGACTCTGAGCAAATTACCTAATCTCGCTGTAAACTACATACCGTCTCTCTCGTAGAATCGTTATGAGGCTTAAATCAGAGTATATGTGTGTGCAGAACAATGTCCGGCACACATGAAGTGCTCAATAAACAATTAACTATTAATATTGATTGCTATTCTATATCTCGTACATACATCTACTGGGGGATTTATCATTGTCTGTCTAGCATAGTGATTGTTGAAATTGCATTCTCCCTCAGCTGACTCTGAATTCTCTAAAAGCAGAGACTGAATTATTTATTTCTGCACCCCAAGCACACACACATAGTAGGTCTTCAGCATGTGTTTTTAAATGAATGGAAAAATGAGAGGCTGGCTGGATGGGTGAAGAATTAGATAGGTGCATGGGCTGCTACAGTTCAGATGGATAGATGGGTGAATGGATTGATGGGTAAGTGAATCAATGAATACAGTAACGGCGTATGGATGGATGGCTTAAGGAATGGATCTGTAGGTAGCCTGATGGATGATGGATGGATGGATGGGTGGATGGGTGGGTGGATGGATGGATGAATGGATGGGTGGATGGGTGGATGGATGGATGGGTGGATGCATAGTTTGACTCCACAAAGGCATAGATTTTTGTCTCTTTTGTCCACTTATTTACTCCAAGTGCTTAGGAAAGTGACTGGCATATAGTAGGTACTCAGTACTTAGTTCCTGAATAAATGGGTTGGCAGACTCTACCTTAACCCACAGATGGATGGATGGGTGGATGGGTGGATGGATGGATGGATGGATGGATGGATGGATGGATGGGTGGATGGGTGGATGGGTGGATGGGTGGATGGATGGGTGTATGGATGGATGGATGGGTGGATGGGTGGGTGGATGGATGGATGAATGAATGAATGGGTGGATGGATGGATGGATGGATGGATGGATGGATGGATGGATGGATGGATGGGTGGATGCATAGTTTGACTCCACAAAGGCATAGATTTTTGTCTCTTTTGTCCACTTATTTTTTCCAAGTGCTTAGGAAAGTGACTGGCATATAGTAGGTGCTCAGTACTTAGTTCCTGAATAAATGGGATGGCAGACTCTACCTTAACCCACAGTTAAGTGCCCATGCTGCTGTCTGGCTCAGAGGGGGCCGTCACCATTCGATCTTTCATTGGCTGACAGTGCAGACATTGGCAAAGATTGTCGTGGGGACCCTGCTGATGGTGATATGAACAACAACAACAAAATCATTGCCCAGATGGAGTTTTCTTTCTGTTCTCTAATTTGCATTCTATTGTTCCCCTTGGCTAAAGGTCCTGATCATTTATTCATAAAGCAGTGGTCCTCCACCCTCCATACTTATTACTGTTATCCGAGAGCACCTTGTCACTCCTGTAAGTTTCTTCCCCAGCCAGACACTCTGGCTGGAGTGCTCAGGAAGACTCACACCTCCCAGGCTCCCAGCGGGTCTGAATCAGACGTTCCTCAGACCTTGCTTGGAGATGCTGCTGCTGGTGATGAGAGGCGGTGGAGACGGGCTGCTGCTTTGGGGTTGTCTCTGAATTCTCAACTGACGTCCAGACTATGGTGGGGGGAAAAGAGCAGAATCGGAGTTCAGAGCTGCGATTTTGGATTTGGACATTCTGGGTTCAAATCCCAACTCTCCCAGTCACCAGCTATGTGACCTCGGCTTCCCCATCTGTAAAATAGGGAAATAGTTGCCTCCCATAGGAATATTGGGGAGAATAAATGAGATAATACATGTATCAGGCTTGGCTCAAAGCTGGGCACACAGTGGGCACTCAATAAACAATGAATGAACAAATGTGTTGCTAATAACCCTACTTCCCTTCCTTTCCCTCTTCTTCCTTGGATAGAGGGGCTATGGGTTTGATTTCTCCCACCAGAATATGAGCCCTGGGAGAGGAGGGATTTTGTCTCTCCGGCTTGTGGCTTTATTTCCAGCACCTCGGACAGTACCTGGTACACAGTCGATTTTACTAAATATTAGCTGGGGGGAAAAAAAACGAATAAACTTGGTTCTGCTTCAGAATCACCCAGGTCCAGCAGGTGGTTGCCTCAACAAGGAAATAGGAAGTACTTTTTGGACTTAAGGTAACCCACGCATCAATGTAGGTTTGACAAATAATATAGGAAGTGTGAAGCAAAGTAAACCACTAGCCCGTAAGACCCTGTGTTCACCCAAGATAAAGTTTATCCCCAAACTAGGATCTGTTAGGATGTAAGCCCCCCAAATTCCCAGTTTGGTTTAAAGAACAAGGCAGTGTTCTAGAAAACTCAGATCTGGACCTGCACCTAGCACTGCTCTTAAAGGGCTTCGTGCCAGTGGGGCTTGCCTCCCTTCTCTGGGCCCCGGTACCCAACATGAGGACACGTGAGACCCCTTTGAGCTCTGTGCCTTAGTGAGGGGCTTCTCATGCCTGTGTCTGTGCTGTTTTTCAGGTGGCCTCCCAAACCCTGATGCATGGCTGCATGGAGTCCCGCCAGCTTCTGTTCCCATGAGGCAGGCACGCCGAGCTCGGCCCCCAGCTGGGGAAGAGGCCAGAAATCAGGCCCTGAGTGAAATAATCTAGCTCCAGCAAGCCGGAAGAGCCAAAAACGGGTGAGACACGTGAACTGCAGTTGCTGGTGACCCCCGGAATTCTCCTGCAATTGCTATTTTCAAAGTTCTTTGGAAACTCTCTGCAGTGAAGAGCAAGATGTAGGAAAATGGGACCAACTCATGGGTGTCCTGAGCCTCAAAACCCCTTTTTTTGCCCAAAGAAGCTCACCTTGACTTTGGGAGGGCCGGTAGGCTCTGTCCTTCTTTCTCTTGGCCCCGGCCAAGTGCGCGACTTGTGGGACTTGCAGGACTCTGGCCTTGGCAATCACCTTTGCAGAGACTGAGGGCCCCCAGGGGTTCCATCCCTGAGGGAAGTTTGGGAAACCAAGTCCCCTCCGTCCCCTCCTGAGCCCCCCAGCCAAGCCCCAGCGAGCCAGTCCGGAATGATCCCGCTATGGCCAAGCTCTGGTTCAAATTCCAGCGGTACTTCCGCCGGAAACCTGTGCGCTTCTTTACCTTCCTGGCACTCTACCTGACGGCCGGGAGCCTCGTCTTCCTGCACTCCGGCTTCGTGGGCCAGCCGGCCGTCTCCCAGAGCCAGGCCAGCCCCGCCGCAGGGGGCCCGGCCGAGGGCGCCGAGCTGCCCTTCCTGGGCGACTTGCACCTGGGCAGAGGCTTCCGGGACGCGGGCGAAGCCTCAAGCATCGCCCGCAGGTACGGACCCTGGTTCAAGGGCAAGGATGGCAACGAGAGAGCCAAGCTGGGTGACTACGGTGGAGCCTGGAGCCGCGCCCTCAAGGGGAGGGCCGTCCGGGAGAAGGAGGAAGACCGAGGTAGGAGCAGGGGACACCTGGACACGGAGGGGCTCCGGAGAAGGGAGGTGGCGATACTAGTGGCAGCTGTCAGTTTTCAGCATTCACCAGGAACCAGCTGTCGTCACAAAGCTACAGCCATAGACAGACAGGAGGTTTCATTTTCATCCCCACTGCACAGAGGAGGAAACTGAAGCTCAGAGAGGTTAAGTAGCTCGCCCGAGGTCACACAGCTTGTCCACAGGCAGGTCTGGATTTGAACTCCATGTCTATCAGAGGCCAAAGTCTCACCCTCTTCCTACAGCCTTTATCAGTCCTTGTTAAATATACACGCACATAAAAACAGCCAGCATTTACTGAACACTTACTATGCACCAGGTACTATTCCAAGCACTTTGCATACATAGAATTATTAGTACAACGAGGTTTGGTAGGTGTCATTATTCCCATTTTAAAGATGAGGAGACCAAGGCACCAAGAGCCCAAGATTACATGGTTACTAAGTGGCAGAGCTTCTGTTCCACCAAACTGTCAGTCCACCGTGCCAGATCCCCTGGTGATGGTTCTCAAGGCATCTCATTGTCCTAGATCTATTTCATTGCATTTTCTCAGCCTTTTACAGTCAAATGGGGCTTTTCTTTTATTTGACTTTTTTCTGCATTTCATAGTATTAAACAAGGCCTCTATCTATGATCCTGTGCCCAGTTAACAGACATGGAAACTGAGGCGTGAAGACGCTTGCTCAAGGCCACACAGCTGGTGGGTGGCAGGGCTGGAGTTTAAATTTGGATCCATCTGTCCCAAATGCATGGCTAAGACTGTCTCCCAGAGTCTGCTGGCATTTGCCCGTCTGACCAGCATGCTGGGGAGGGACCCATAGCCCCCGCAGCTCATGAGATGAACACAAATGACATTTCAGAAATCTGGGCCAGATGGTTTGGGAGAATAAACCACCCATCAAGGCAAAACTTCACTAACATTTGTGTTCAACTCACCAAAGACCCCTTCTCCCATCATGAACGGGAGCAGGATTCACAGAGGGGACTTGTCCTACAGCACATTCCACTGCCCCAGTCCCACACCTGCCTGGCTTAGGAACCATCCAGAAGCCCCTACCTTCCCACCCTCTAGGATTTCATACACTTCTGCCTCTTCAAGAACCCAGTGTTCATAGGGAGGTGAGAGAGAAGGTTGGAGGTGGCAGAATGGATTGGGAAACTTAGATTCATAGTCCAGCTCTGCACCAACCAGCCCAGGCACCTGGCTTCACCCTTCTTACGCTTCCGTTTTGAAATCTGTAAAATGGGGATAACGATCTCTCCTAGGCTGCTCCTGAGAGTTCAAGGAGACAGCAGTCATGGAAGCACCTAGCACGAGGCTGGGCACAGAGTAGGTGCTTAGAGGTGCTCATGGGAGCTGCCTGGGGAAGGGAGCCCGTCTCATAGGCATAGGTGAGGTGTGATGGCTGCACAGATGGAGAAATCATGACCTGGCTTCTCTCTCTGCCTTTTCCCCTCATCAAACCCGTCTCACCGTAGCCACTCCAGACTCCACTGGGGCCTTTGAAAGCCCAAGTTCCTGCAAGCCTGCAGCTTAGGATATGCCCCCATCACACTTAGAACAAATTTCAGACTCCTCCCGTGGCCCACGGTTCCAACCTCATCTCATAACTCTCCCCGTCCCCTTCACACACTGCACCCTGTGGTCCTTCTTGCTGTCCGTGGAACACACCAAGCCTGTTCCTGCCTCAAGATCTCTGTATATGCAGTCTTGGATGCTCTCCCCCAAGACCTTTGCATGGCTCCCTTCTTCCCTACCTTCAAGTCTTTAGTCAAACCTCACCTTCCCACAGAGCCTTCCCAAGAGGGCCCTAACTCAAGTGGCCCTACTTCCCACCCAGTCGCGACCACATTCCCCAGCTTTAAGTCACAGCTCTTATCACCACCTGAAAGCATCTTGTTAATGTGTTTGCTTCTTTGTTTATAGTCTATCTCCGCTACTAGACTGTCTGCTCCAGGAGGGCGGGGCTGTTGCCCGTCTGGCGTGTCTCTGTTCCATCAGCACCCGGGACAGCGCCCGGCACAAAGATGGTGCCCAACACCTGCTTGTTGAATGGGTGAATGATTGGATGAATAAATGAATGGATGGATGACTGTCCCTCTGCTTGGAGTACCTCCACGGTTCCTACTGTTCCTCCATGTCCCAGCTTTACTCACTTCCAGGAAATTGTCCCTGATCCCCCTCTGGGAGTGATTGAATGCTCTTCCTCTACGTTACCTGTCCTGGCCCTTATATGAACAGCAATTGCCCATGCTTGTCCAGGTCCCTTGATAGAACATGAATTCCTTGAGGTGCAATTGATACATATAACAGCACCAACAGCATGCCCCATTTATTGTAACAATGAAATATTGCTGTCACTACTACCAACAATAATCATTACCATTTCTTGAGCATCTACTTCACACCAGCCACTGTTCTTTTTGCTTTCCATATATTATTTGAATGAAATGATATAGGTGAAATGCTTATCACATCTTCTGGCTCATAATAAGACGTCACTTAATAGTTGCTGTCATGTTTAGTAGTAGTAGTAACATCTAATATCTATTGAATAATCACTATGGGTTAGACCATGTTATGAGTGTTTTACTGCCTTATTTAATTATCACAATTCAATAAGTTAGAGACTATTGGTATCACATTTCACAGATGGTAAAACTGAGACTCAGAGAAAAACCACTTATCCCGGGTTACACAGGTAGCTAGGCGAGGACCTGAGGCTTAAAACAAAGTCTGTTTCATTCCAAAACTTATGAGCATTCCTCTATACCATGCTGATTGTACACACACACACACACACACACACACACACACACACACACACACTGTCGCCCCAGCAATCTTATGTATTTTATAAAATGCAAAGAGAGATGGAAGATAAAACAAGAAAGTAGCCCCAAGTCTGGGGCTCTTAGCAGGCAGCCTTTGGAATGAGGCAGTGTTATTAAGAAAACACAAATCCAGCCTGTCCTTGATTAACTTATTCAGAGTTCAGTGAGGAAAGACAACATATTAGATTAACGCTAATCAAAATGAGACGCTTCTCTGACCTGACGCTAAACTCATTTGGTTTTCTCGGAAGCTGGCGAGGGCTCTGCTTGTTGCAGCGATGCAGGGCTGATGCTGCAGACGGCTCAGAGCCCACCACGGGCCAAGACAGGGAAGGGAGGGGCTGCACCCAGCTGGGCTGGGGTGGGCAGGAAGTCTGAATTCCCGGGTGCAACTGGCACCTAGAAGGTTCCAGTCACCCCGCTAGGTCCTCCTCCTCATTTGGTCAGCCAAATCAGAGCCTGAATCCCAGTTCTGCAACTTGCTCTCTGTGCAGCCTTGGGCAGATCACTTCACCTCTCTGAGACTCAGTTTCCTCTTGGGGCTAAATAGAACTTAACATCAGATAGCTGTCAGGATGGTTACGTAAGATAGATCGAGTGTGTGTCTCTTAAGTGCCAGGCACTGTTCTAAGAGTTTACATCCACTCCATCACATAAGCTTCATAGCAATCCAGTGAAGCACACACCATTATTAACTCCATTTTACAGGGAGAAAACTCAGGCACAGAGAAGTCAAGTAACTTTCCAAAGGTTACCCAGCTTGGGGAGGGAGTGAACCAATATTTGAACCCAGGTGGTTTGAGTCTTATGTCTGAATCTTAATCATGACATCACCTCATTTCTCAGTGTACAGAACACACGTTCAGAGTCAGGAATACAGCCACTATTTCTATGAATACTGTGTTTTGCAGGAGAAAACAGAGGTACATAGAGGTAATGTGAATTTTCTAAGGTCACGTAGCTAGTCTGGGGCAGAATCAGGAGCCAGACCCAGTTTGATTTTAAAACCCGCATTGTTGTCTGTTTCCCTCGGATTACAGAGAGGCTTGGGCCGGGTGTGAAGGAGGTCATGAGGTTTAGTCTGCGTTTTTGGAAGAGAAAGCAGGGACCCCCACTCCCCATCTGCTCCAGCTCAGGGTGCAATGGTTGCAGGTTATCGAGGGTCTGCTCTGTGTCTGGGACTGTGCATCCATACCCTCCTTTCAGCTCCACATGGGGTACAAATTATTGAGCCTCATTTCATAGATGAAGAAACAGAGGCTCAGAGAGGTTGAACTACTTGGCCAGTGTCACACAGCTGTTAAGAGGCAGAGCAGACTCCAGCCCAATTCAATCTGAGTCCAAAGCCCCTATTCTTAACCACTGAGCTATACTATTAATATCTTTCTTAAAATATATAATGCCCAACTCCATTCATTCATTCATTCACTCATTCACTCATGCGTTCCATATTTACCGCATGCCTACTATGCGTGCAGCCTGGGCTGGGAGGTGGAGACACAGGGAAGAGTCAAGCATAGCTTTTCCCTCTGAGAAACGTTCTCAGCCTGTCCGGGGAAAACAGGTAGATAAAAAGATAAATCATATTTTCAAAAAAAATCACTCTTTTCCCGATTATCAAAGTCACACATGCTCACTGTAGAAGAATTAGAATACATTAAAAAAAAGAGAGAAAGATGAAGGTAAAAATGACCCAGAATCCCACATCCAACGACAGCCCTTGGCACTGGTGCTAGAATGTCACCTTCCTGCCCGTGCCTTTCTGTGTGCTCTGCCAAGGTGTAGATTCGTGTGCATCGAATGACACCCTGCTTCCCCCCATTGTTTTCATTCTCATTCACTTTTTCATTTTACAAAAAAAATCTACCATGATCCAAAATAATTTCTAATTTGAAAAAAAATAATGGACAGTTCTTGAGAAGTTATTTAGAAAAGCGTTATCAGGGGGTAAGCCAAAGGGGGGGTGGGGTGGGCAGTCCCATTCAGTCCTGGGGAGGGTGTCACAGTTTCCCAGGCGAGGAGGGGGGTGGGGAAGCTGGGGCAGTAGGAGCCGTAGGCCTTGACCAAAGTGAGTGGGGCTCCAGGAAGTCTAGATACGAGCAGGAAATTCCATCCCCGGCACAAGGAAACCCAGACAGCCCTGGGGTGGCCAGCCAGGGGGACCACCTTCCAGGGTGGCGGGGGGACCCTGGGCCGGAGTGAGTATTTCTTGTGTCTTCACTCTGTGCCTGGCCCTGTGCCAGGTGCGGTGTGTCGATTAATTGTACTCAGGTCAATCTGAACAATACCCTTTGTAGGACGAACGGTTTCCCGGGGCTGCTGTTGCAAAGTACCGCTAACTGGGCGGCTTAAAACAACAGATGTCTCTTCTCTCGCGGTTCTGGACGCCAGGTATCTGAAGTCCAGGTGTTGGCAGGGCCTTGCGCCCTTGAAGGTTCTATGGGAGAATCTGTTCCATGCTTTCCTCCTAACGTCTCATGTCTCACCAGCAATCCTTGGCATCTGTGGCCTACAGTTGCGTGACCCCAGTCTCTGCTTGCATTTCCACGTTGCCCCCTCCTTGCGTCTCTCTGTCGTCACAGGGCCATCTGCTTATAAGGACAGACACTCAGTCAGCATGGATTGAGGCCCACCCTACTCCAGTTTGGCCTTACAACGTAATTATCATCTGCAGTGACCCTATTTCAAATAAGGCCACCTTCTAAGGTACCGGGGGTTAGGACTTCAACGTGTCATTTTATTTTGGGGGGGGGGTGTGGTGAACAAAATTCAACTCATAACACCACTTGTAGAATTTTTGTCCCCACTCTTCAGGTGGGAGGACTGCACCTTGGAGAGCTTGAGCAATATTTTCAGGCTACTGCAGCATCATACGTGGGATTTGAACCCAGATCGGGTTGACTCCAGTCGGCGGTGAGGCCTCTTGTTTGGGGCTCCACTCACAAACAGCATACAAGAGGCATACAAGTTAGCTCATGCTTAGCTACCCTTTTAACAAATTACCTTTTTCGAAGAGAGCAAAATGTTGTGGAAAGATTAATTGGAGCAAAAGGAAAAAAAAAGGAATTAAAACACCGCCAGGAGCAGTTTTTTCAGATGCTGGTTTCTGTCTTGAGATAAATAGCCCGGCCGGGGTGACTTTGCCATTTCAGCAATCTTTGCATCACCGCGGAGACGAGCTGATAGATTGTGTGAACTTGGCCATTAATCCCTCCTCCAGTGGCCTGTGATTTTGTCCCTGCTTTACATACCTGACCTCCCATCTCCGAGAGATTCTGCCACCGTGGCAGATGGGACGGTGGACCCTGAGGAGGTGGCTGGAGGGGAGTTTAGTGGGCTGGCAGTGACCACACTGGTGAGCTCGGCAGGGTGACCAAACTCCAGGGACAGGAGCAGTGGGCACATGGGATGCAGCCTGCACTGAAGTTCAGTGGGGAAGGGATCACCAGATCTCAGGACAGGGAGGAAACTGACTCGCTATTTATATCCTGGTCTGTGGAGCTGAGCCCATGAATCAGGCCATGATGGGTAGCACGCCCACGTTCTCCAAAGCATTAGTGAAGGACCCTGTGTCTTCTTTTCCTTTCTGTTGACAGATAAGGAAACAGAGGGTCATTTGTGCATTCAGCGAGTCTTCGAGCACCTGTTATGTGGGACACGTCAGCCTGGTGCCTGGTCTGGTGGGAACTGAGGAAGGGATAATGCGACATTTAAAAGCCCGGGCTTTGGGGAAGACCGACCGACCTATGGTCACATCCAAGCTCTTTTCCCAGGGAACCCTCCCTCTCCCATCCCCCGTTTTGGCGTGTCTCTCTGGGGAGGATGGAGATACCCCCTCCTCCCAAGCCTGGACTCAGTGGGGCACGTGGGAAGAGACACCTTTGAACAGACAGCCTTGGGTTTTATCTGAGGCCCTCATTGCTGGGTGGCCTCGGGCAAGTTGCTCAGCTTGGGTGTTGCTGTATTAGCCGGTCCCTCCCTGGCGGCAAGGCACGCACAGCCAGCCCAGCCCAGCTTAAGTGAAAGAAGAAAATCGCCTTGTCTTGTCACCACACTCCAAGTGAGGCTTTGCTGAGTCGGGGTTCAAAAGGAGTGCAAGCTTCTTCCTCTCTCTTCTCTGCGGGTCCTGCCCCATGCGTGTTCTCCTGCACAGACCGGCCTTGGTGTCGGGGATTGAGCCGTCGCTAGCTCTAGACCTGCAGGATGCCAACGTCGTAACCCCAGAAAGTCAGGCTTGTTTCTCCCAGCTTTAAATCTGTAAGAATTCAACACCTGGCTCATGGGTCCTTCCTTAAAGTAATCGCTGGTGCGATGGACATTACGGTTGACCCCGGCCAGGTCAGTAGATTCCCTGTGGTCAGGGCAGGCAGGTTCTGCTGATAGAAAAATATTATTAAAATAGGAAAAGGGAGGCTTTGAGACACAAACAGTACCCACTGCAGTCCGCCCCTTCACTCCACGATATGCACGTGAACATGCACACATACGGTCACTCCCATCCATTTGATTATAAAGATCGAATCTCACATGATCCACTGTCTCGCATATAGCCAAATGCACCTGCTCTCACCCTGAGATGGGACCACCCAAGCTCATACTGCACCCAGCTCCAAGCCCAGCCCTATCTGGGGCATGGACATTCCTCCCCTGCAGGTCTCGGTGTGGCCGTTGTTGATCCTGAAACCTCTGGGCCAAAAGGAAATGAAACCTCCCCAAGTGTAAAATGCTTGGAGGACAGACCTGGGCTTCAATTGGAAGAGAGACACTTACAAGTTGTAGGAACTTGAACGTATCACATAGCTTCTAATTCCATTTTGAAAAGAGGAAAAACCAGCAGTCATAGGAGTTGTTATTAGTTGGAACATATACCGTATGCCAAAACTAAGATTCTCTTCTAGAGTAGACAGTTGTAAGAGCCACTGCGATCAGTTTCCTCATCTGTAAAATGGGTTCATAAGAAGGTGGTGAAGATTGACTTTAACACAATGAGACATGGCCAATAGAAGAGTAGACAGCGCATAGTAGGTAGTTAATATGTGGTCATGTTTTCTCCCTCCCCCCTCTCGTGTGTACATATACACATATTGCTCTGATGACAAAGACTTAGTAACTGCCCAAATAAACCAATCTTTTCCTCCACTCTCCTTCTGTTCCCTTTCCCTTCCTTCCTCCTCCTTTCTTTCCTCCCTGCTTTCCCTCTCTCCAACTCCCTCTTTGGTTTCTCCTCCCCCCATCCCACAAAGCGCCCCCGACACCCAGTCCTCCAGTGAGCTACTGAGCTAAGTTTAGCACGAAGCCCCCGCCACCCACGTGGCCACGAAGCCTGTCTCCCAGCTCGGGCGCCAACAGCGTCCAGCTCCACCTGTGGCAGGAGGGGCTCGCGTGTTGAACAAGCACAGAGACAAGACACGGCTTCTCTAGGGCTGTCACTGGCTGGCGTGCCTGCTCCTGGGAGGTGATGTTTCTTCCGAAGACAGACTGTTCTTAGCCGAGCAAATCACCTCTGTCTGACGAAAGAGATTCAAGGTGATCAGGTCTCCAGTGGGGCTGGCACATGCCACGCTTAGCAGACTATGTTGGGGGCACAATCGCTCGGTAATGAGCCTGCATCCCCCCCCCAGACCCTGCGTTCCACAAGTAAGGGGGACAGGGAAGAAGCCCCACCGTTTGAACTAGACGGCAGCCTGGCCAGGGAAGCGATGAAGTAGCATTTGGTATTTTCTCCATTCATTCCCTGTAAGGGCCATTCAGTTCCAAGGTCGGGCTGGATCCTCAGTCCAACCTCCAGTTGGACAGATTTGGGGGTCCCACAGAACTGGATTTAAACCTTTGTCCTGTGACCAATTGATTCAAGAACCCCTCAAGTGGTTCAGAACATGGGCTTTGAAGCCAGATGGCTCGGGTCCAATTCTGACTCCACATGCACAAGCTGTGTTACCTTGAGCCAGGGATTTAACCTCTCTGGGCCTTTTTCTCTTCTGTATAAATGGGAATAATACACTCATAGGCTCATTGCAAGGATTCAGTGAGACAGTATGTGTTAAGCACTTACTGAAGTTCATGTCCAAATATTAATAGTACTAAAAATTTTAAGGACATATAGGAAAATACTTCCTAAACTGTAAAGTGCTATGTTTGTGTATGAGTGTTACTATTTACCATGAAGCACAGGAACATGCTTGCTACTTTAAGAACACTAAGTGTATGGTTTATAGTTGGATGGTTGTTTTATATCATTTAAAATTTTCCTTTGGATAGAAGCATTCACGTTGGCCCGCAATAGAAGCAAACGGTAAAGTACTTTACAAACCGTGGTGAATGGCCAGTGTCTCATTCTACTCACTTTAATTTGGTGCCCATTATATGCAAGACACTATGGAAGAAACCTTTACACAAATCATTCCACCTTAACCTCACTGGGTTGCTGTCTTCATCCTCACTACAAATAAAATTGGGTCTCTCTGAGGTTAATTGACCTAAACTTACTAGGCTAAGAAGTAACTGAAGTGAAATAAAGGTCTAGACCTGGAGATCCCCAAGTCCAGTGTGCTTTTCAGGGAAAAAATAAATATCTGAAGGCAGCTTGTGGAAATGGTAACATGTTGCAAAATGGTAAGCTTTTTCTTTAGAGCTGTTTTAATGTGGATCTCATCCTGTAGGACATGGAAGTTGTGTTTGGTGCCTAGGGAATGTCCCTGCTGTGGGTTCCTGGGTGCTCAGTTGTCACCAGGAGTCCCCAACACTGTCCACAGATGGGTCCCTTCCCCCCCCCATTGGTCTCTTAAGATCCATGTTGGTCTTACTGTTGCCCTGATTGGACCAGGTTCTACCAAGGCACGAGCTTTTCAGTCTCTTGTGTCTGCCCAGAGGAAGGAATTGATGCCCAAAGGTCAATGGGGCCATGTAGCCAGAGACACATTGAGCTTCCTCCTGTAACCCTTTTACCTTCGTCCCCAGCCACGTCTGACTTTTTCCTTTCCCCAAAGCCAAGTACATCGGCTGCTACCTGGATGACACCCAGAGCCGAGCCCTTCGAGGTGTGTCCTTTTTCGACTACAAAAAGATGACCATCTTCCGTTGCCAGGACAACTGTGCTGAACGGTAGGGCCCCGACGTCCCAGACTCATTCATTTGGGACCCTTCCCTCTCAGGTTCCTGCCCATGGTATTCTTGGCCCTGCCATGGGAGGGTGTGTTGGAGGGTGAGCACGTGAGTACAGGAAAAGGTGATGCAAGGGTGTGTGAACACACACAGACACACACACACACACACACATGCATGCAGCTGAGTGGGACTGTTCAGGAGTTGGCCTGTGGGACTTTGTGATTGTGCAGTTGTGTGAGATTGTGCCTAGCAGGGAGTTTGCCATGTACAATGTGCAGGGTCACTGGTTCTGCTTGTGAGCTTAATGCTAACACAGGATGATCTTCAAATAATAGTGGCTGTGTGTGTGTGCATGCATGTGTGTATGCAGGAGTCTTCGTGAATATGCATGCAAGGGTCTAGAATTGAGCTTCTGTGTGCAGGTGTCTGATTGCATCATGGAACATGCAATGCTGTGTTGAGAGTATGCAAGGTTGTGAGGAATTGCACACAACTCGGAAATGCACGATTGGGTGTGCGTGTGCACACAGGTGAGACTGTAAGTGTGAAGCTTGTAAGATGTCCAGGTGAAGGGTGAGGTGGGAGCAGCTGATGGTTTCTTAGTATAGAATACAGAAACACTCGCCTGTTCAGACAGTGTTTTCCAGTCTAAGAAGATGGTGTTTTTGATTAGAATATGTGCAGAGGGGAGGAGTTAGCTTTGCCGGAGTGGATGAGTCCCAAGAGGACTGGTGAGCAGGGACAGGACCCTGGGAGGTCCCAGGGGGCTGAGCTGACCTTCTCCTCCCATGGTCTCCTGGGTCCCTTAACCCTGCAGTGGTTGGTGAAGAGGCTTCTAATCCACTCACCTCCAGACTCCAGCCAGCTGGCTCTGTGGGTCACGAGCTCTACCAACCTCAAGGCGGATGCCTGCTGTGGGAATGAGCCAGTGGGTGTCCGCAGAGGGACTCTGGCCAATGTCCCTGATTAGGAAACACGCTCCCTTTATGATCAGCTGCCTGAGGAGCCCGCCGTTAAAGTCCCGACCCCAGGACCCTCTCCAACTTGGGAAGGACTCCAAGTCCTTGATGATATGGAGTCATTAATTTATTTTTCAAACTGTGGGGAAACACAGGTGGATTCCACAAAGCCTTTCCCTCATCAAGGACAAACAAGCAAACAGAAGGGCAATGCCATGAGATAAGATATCATGTCTCTCATGAGGCTGCAGTCACCCTATCAGCAGGGACCATAGTCAGCTGAAGGCATGACTAGAGCTGGAATTGCCTGTTCCAAGATAGGCCACTCACATGGCTGTCGGTTGGAGGCCTCTGGTCCCCAGCACACTGGCCTCTCCACGGGGCTACTTGAGTGTCCTCACAACATGGCAGCTGGTTTCTTGCAGAGGGAGCCCTCTGCAGGAGAGAGCAAGGAGGAAGCTGCAACGCGTTGCATGATGCAGGCTTGGAAGTCACATGGTGTCTCTTTCCCCATCTTCTATTCATTAGAATGGAGTCACTAAGTTAGCCCACACTCAAGAAGAGGTGAACTAAGCTCCAACTCTAAAAGGAAGCACTATCCAAGAATTTGTGAACACATTTTAAAAACCACCACACCTCCCGACCTGGGGGATTTCCTGGCATATCTGTTCTTTCCCCAGTGCAGCAGCTGTTGAACTCTCTTCTGGGTGTGTCTCCCTGAATCTCAGTTCTCCTCTACCTCAGACTTTGTCCCTTCTGAGGACCAGGATGCCTCCTGCTTTGGAACTGGCAACACCCGCTGGGCCCTTTTCGCGGGGAAGGTCGCTTCCATCAGTGGGTCCCATCATGGGGACGTCCTAGAAGCAGGGCTTGAGAGAGACAGCATGAGACAGTTAGGTGGGAGGAGGCCAGCCCAGGCCCAGGACTTTGCTGGTGGGGAGGATCAGATACCAAGATTCTCAGCTTGTTGCCATGCCCACCCCAGCGAGCAGGTGGATCGGGGAATGCCCTGAGCCACCCCAAGCCCCCAGGGTGTGTGCAGGCCTGAGTGTGGGCAAGTCTGTCTCTCCAGCCAGCATCATGTGACCCAGAGTGAGCCGTGAGCTGACAGTCCCCACTGATTGCACCTCCTGTGACTGGTGGCGTCTCACCTGCTGCTTTCCGCGGAGCCTTCATGGTCTGCAGGGAGCCTCGAAGGCCACTGTGGGCGAAGGGATGGGGACACAGAGGGAAGGGAGCAGGGCCTTTCCTACCCCAGAGCCAGCCAGAGCAAGCAACACCCTTTTCATTCATTTACAGAGTGGGGCATCCACTAAGAGTCCTTCTTAGCAAAGGATTCCATCACTATGAAGGGAAAAAAAAAAGTTAAAAACCTTGCAGTGCCTAGATTTTTTGTTTCAGAGGAAGGAATTTTTTTCCTTGGCTGGGTATGTGAGCTCGTCTTCTGCTCGTCTCTCCCAGAGGGACATGAGAGCCCCTGCCACCACCTCATTCTCCCCGTGCCTCCTCAGGACACACACAGCGTTCCCGTTCCCGGGCGACGTTTCCCAGAGTAAAGGGGCTGGGCTCTGCAGAGGTGGCTGTCCCACGTCTCCAGACAGGGAGGAGGGAGGAGTGGGGCAGAGCGGGGCAAGCACAGGGCGGTCTGGGGGTGCGTGTGTGACTAGCATACCAGGTGCAGGTGTGGACAGGAGAGTGTGAATATGGACATGGCGTGTCTATGTGGGCAGGTGTGTAAGGGGCATAAGACGTCAGGCGGAGAGGAAGGCAGGTGGGTGGTCCCTAGGGCATTGTCCCCTGTCTGGGTCTCCCTGTGCCCTAGGAACCTCCCTGAGTTCCTTCTGGTTTTGCTGCCCTCCCAGGGCTTCCTAACGCCTCAGCCCCTCCACTCCTCTCAGGGTCTTGTCACCCCAGCCCAGGTCCCCTGCCCCGGGAGCATGCCTGTCCCCTAGATCTCCCCGAGTCTCCATGTCCCCTCCCAGGGGCTCCCCTGTCCCCCTTCCACGGTCTTCTGTGATCTGCCCCAGGTCTCCTCATTCCCTTGGGGTCTGCCAGGTCTCCATGTGGGGTGGGTCCCCTGGGGTGGGTCTCCCCATGGCCCCCCTCTCCCATCAGCAGTGTCCCCATGTCCCCTGGGATCTCCCAGTCCCCGGGACCCGCCGACGCCCGGGTCTCCACGTGGAGTCTCCCTGTCCCCGGGGTCTCCATGGTGGCAGCTGCCCTGCTTGACGGCAGCCTCCCCCAGGGGTTACCTGTACGCGGGGCTGGAGTTTGGCGCGGAGTGCTACTGCGGCCACAAGATCCAGGCGGCGAACGTGAGCGAGGCCGAGTGCGACATGGAGTGCAAGGGCGAGCGGGGCAGCGTGTGCGGCGGCGCCAACCGCCTCTCCGTCTACCGGCTGCAGCTGGCCCAGGAGTCGGCCCGCAGGTGTACGTGAGTCTGCCCCGCCGCGCCCCGGGCCGCGGCCCCTGCCCACCCAGCACGGGGAGTCCCCGCATGTCTGCCCTGCGCTGCCCGTGGCTCCCCACCACCCCAGGCCACCACCGTCCGGTCCCAGCCTTGCCCCCCGCCCCACTGCTTGCAGAGCCTTTTGCTCCGGCTCCCCGAAACGTCCACACCTCCCCTCCCTTCCTGAGCACCCCCCACCCTGCCAGTAGCACCCTCATCCTCGCCAGCCTTCTTCCCTCCAAAATTGCACCGGGGCCTGAACTTAGCCTGTCCTTCTTGATCTTCTCAGAGAGCTTGTCTCTGACCATGAAGATGATGGTGGACATAGTGACAGCAGTGACAGTGACAACAGCAAACACTTTATGCTCTTCCCAATGCCTCATGTAGAATATAGCACTCCTAATCTTCACAAGGACCCTTGAAATGGACTCTGGTTTTTACTTACTCCCATTTTACAGATAAGGAAACTGAGTCCTAATGTCCCATAGCTTGTAAACCAACTCCAGAGCCTTTGATGCTTTCATGGAGAGAATTCCTCCTGGCTTACTTGTGCTTCTGTTTGAGTCTTGTTGGGAAAAAAAACCTCCAGTTTCCAAACCGAGAGAATGAGGGCATGAATAAGAGGACAGGAGTTGGCTCCTGTTCCATGGACATTGTCCCTCTTTGCCCTCTCATTGTCCCGTCATCGCCCCTCCTGGGAGGTAGCAAGCGAGGCGTGTTTAATAACAACTAATAGGTGTATATCAAGAATCTGCTATGTGCCAGACACTGTGCTAAGCCAGTTACAGACCTGACTTCATTTTATTCATTTATTCTCCGTACAGCCTTTTCAGGTGATTACTATTATTAATTATCCCCAGCCAGCCCACGGTCACACCATCTAATTCCAGATGACCTTAAGCCCTATGAACAGAGCTCATGGGTTTGGTGAAAGATGGGAGGCTGACCTTTCTGGAGGTGGCCCCTCCCTCCCAGGCAATCCAGAGGCAGGAACAGAACCCGCAGCTGCTTAACCCCCAAGAGATCTCGTTAAAATGCAGATTCTGACTCAGCAGGTCCAGTGGGAGTCTGCATTTCTGGGGATCTCCCATGTGACGCCAGGCTGCTGGTCTAGGGACCACACTTTGAATAAGGAGGCCTTAGACCTCAGCAGATCTTGCCCCGAACGTAGTCCTTGCCCACCTGGGTGAACTTGGCGGAACGTTGACACCTGTCTCTTTGCAGAGAAAGGCCTCTTCCATGTGAATTTCATTGTTCATAAAAACGTAGTGTTGGTTTGCTTGACAGTGAGTTCAATACTTGAAATCCCATATTTTTGAAGCTCTGTCTAAGCTTTGCAATAGGGTTGGGCGTGCTGCCCATTTGCAGACTGACTCGTTTCTGCAAATGGACTGCACCAGCTCCTTCCCTGTACTCGCCTCAGTTCAGGTCCCGGAGGCCCCAGAGGGCAGAGGTGGTGTGGGAAATCCAGGCTGGAGAATGTCCACACATTCTGAGTTTCTGGTTTGGCTGTTACCGCAATGAGTTTTTAACTTGGTGGCAGTTTTATCATCCTCACAAGTGATCCTCTTTGTGCCAGTGTTTATGTTATGTTGATGGTGATACTTGGACCATCTGAAGCGATGTCCTTAAAGTCAGGGGTATGTGAGGGGGAGCTGCTGCCACTAACACATCCTGGTGAATGAAGCTGAGATAGAGAAGGAGAGTAACATAGCTGTGTTATGTCATGAGCCAGACATTTGGGTGATATTCAGGTCGGTTCGATAACCTGGACATTCTCTCTCTCTTCCTCTCTCTCTCTCTCTCTCTCTCTCTCTCTCTCTCTCTCTCTCTCTCTCCGCTACACTCCTCTCCTGCCCACCTCTGCGGTGGCAGAATTATCCTGGGTGGTGTTGGCACCATCTGAAAAAGGCATCTTTGTATTATGCCCAAGAGGGCCAACACATTCTCTGCTACTGAGAGTGGATTCTCTGAGTCAGCTATAGTTGTTCTGAATCATCACTGTGCAGGTGTGAGGCTTGGGCACCTTCAGCTGGAGCCCCTAAAAGAAAATCCCAGCCTTATTAACTTCAAGTCTTGCTGAGACTAGAGTGGAGGTGGCTCGGATAAGGAGACAGATGGTTGAGGAGTTGTCAAACTGAGACTCCCAGTTGGCAACACGGTATACACAGAGAGCAGTGGGGCCGTTCCTGGAACCAAAGCACTCGGTGAGCTCCGTGTGGATGAGGCATGCAGAGGCGCTGTGGTGAGTAAAGCGCAAGGAACACGCCATGCAGTGCGATTGGTTCAACCATCTGGAGCGCACACGGGATTGTGGGGACCCTGCCTTCAGGAGCCAGGGGAGCACCTCTTGAGCTGAGCTGCATTTCTAGGAGACTCTAGGTGAAAGGGGGAGCCATGTATCCTAACCCATGAGCAAAAGCCCAGAGCCAGCAAGGCTCATGTGTTGAGTGCCATGTTGGAAGCGCCATTCTCACTGATGCCCCCCATTTTACATTTGTAGAAACCGAGGCCCAGAGAGCAGAAGTGGCTAGATTTAACAGCTCTGGGAGAGGCTTCACAGAGGAGGGTCACTTGATGAGCGCCCTGCAAGATGGGTAGGATTTTGCCTGGTGAAAAGGGGAAGGATGTTCAGACTCAAGACAAGTTGCCAAGGGGTGAGAGGAAATCTAAGCAAAAGGAGTAGAGTGTTTGAAAGGGTGGAGGCTATTTCAGAAAACAATTGGCAGGCATGGGGTTTCCAAGGCCACAGTGCCTCTTAGACACTAGGCATGGCCTGGAAACACGGATCTCTGATTCCAAGTTTGGGTGCTCACTCATTATAGTGTTGTAGACATCCTGACCTCTTGAATGGGGGTCACGACCCCATCTTCTGACTTTTGGAGGAATCCCTTGGCTGCAGCTTCACGCCTTCCTTCCCTGAACCCCGATCCTTCCTTCTGCCTTGTTTTCTGACTCTAAGCAATGTGGAATCTCCAATGTCTTTGCTCTGACTCAGTGGCATCTTCAGCCTCCCATGCCTGGGATCTGCATCATACACACATAAATCAGAAAGAGATGCCTTCCAGATCCCCAGCATACAACCTGAGCATATATATTACATCAGGCGAGAGGGGTGAGCAAACACTCCAGGAAACAAGTATGCCGGAAACCAGATTTCATTAGTAGAGTCATTAGTTGGTATAAACACTGTGTCCTAATTGTGTTTCCCTGAGCAGTCGCACAGAACTCTTAATGGCTGGGGAGATCCAAAGGAGGCTTATGGTCTCCCAGGCACCACTCCGGTGGGCGTGCCCAGCTCAGGTAGGGAGCCAGCCTGCGTGATTCTGAGGCGGTGCAGCTCCTGCAATAGCGAGAGCGTGAAAAGGTTAGCAGAGCAGATGTCTGCCGGCACCCTGCTATTCTGCCTTGACACAGACTCTCAGGCATGTGGACTCTTTGCCCTTTGTTACAAAAGAACCAAGAAGTGGACTTCCTTCTTGGTCAGATTACATTTTTCACAGCAGTTTGCTAAATGTGTCCGTGAGTGTAGCTCTCCTCCCAGGGGGGAGAGACGTGCTGGTGATTTGAGAATGTTATGGCTTGATAGGATGTTATAAGAAATTTCATCTGCCCGGGGACACTCGCAAGATTTGGATTGCAAGGTTCATCAGAACAACGCGGAGCCCTCCATGTTGGGCCCGTGGGTAGCTGTCCGTGGTGCTGACCGTCCTTAAGCACGGCCCCAAAGCCGGGTGGATGACTGCAAACCAGCGTCTCCCAGGGCTCTTTTTCCCTCTTGTTTTCCCCCACCCCCTTCTACCGTGGTGAAGGCATTATAAAGCTTACATTATCACTGAAAAAAAGACAGGCACTTGATTTTATGGTTCACAATTTACACGGTGGATTTTGTGCACTATTGTTAGTTCTGGCCATTTTTAGTCTTCAAAAAGTAATCGAAGGAGAAATGTGTGCACTGTTGTGCTTTCTACTCACTGCGCTCCAACCAGTTCTTCTGAGGGCAGCCCGAGATGATCAGGGGAAAGCCACATTTCCTTGGATGGACCACGTCTACTTCCTTATTTCCCAAACCTTTGACATAAGTCTGGGAGCCCTGAATTTTATAACTCATACAGGACTTTATAAGTTCTTCTATGTAGGGCCAAGGGGATAATAGAAAAACTTTCTCTTTCCATGTCCTGATGGGGGAGAATTGGTTTGCTCTTCTACCCTAAGCAAAATCCAGTTCTTTGAGCAGGAAAACGTTGGGCACAACGTAGGTTTTGGAAATAGGCATACATCGTTTCTATCTCAGCTCTCTCACTGTGTTGACTTTTTGGTCAAGCCACTTAATCTTTCTAAGCTTTAGGTGCCTCATCTGTAAAATGGGGACAATTCCAACCTTTCACAATTTCTGAGACCACCAGGTGACATCAAGTCTAGAAAGCACCTAGCACAGCGCCTGTTATGGAGAAGATGGGAGGCTCCCTTCTTCCTAAAGAAAATCCCCCAACTCACTCTGAGAAGCACCCAGTTCAACTGTTTGAGTTTCCCACAGCCTGCAGGAACCTTTGGTAATGTCTAAAAATAGCTGGTTTGAATTCTCCTTGGACGGTTAGGCTCTTTGTGTAATTCAATCTGTCTCTGATTCTGGGTAGCCAGGTAGCCGTTAACAGCTTCCAGCTCACTGCCTCTCCTCCTCACCAGCTCCTTCATGCAGTAGAGCTTGGCCTAATTACCCAGGGGGGAGTGGATTCTTTCAAACCAAGGAGAACTCTTCCACGCCTGCCTCTAAGCTGATGCCTGGTGACATTTACCTCGTTTTTGTGAAGCTCTAGAACAAAGAGATGATAGGACTTCAGAGACACTTGCAGCTGGTTCCAGGCTGTTCTTCATCTGCCCCCAGCAAATAGAGTTGATGAACAGTTGCTCTGCTTGCCTCTTGCTAGTAAAAAGCCCACGCTGCTGAGGTCATGCACCATCCCAGCTAGCCGGGCAGTGA